CAGGCCGAGTTTTGCGGTGCCCGGAGGGGGGTGGGGTGGGGAGTGAACTCGAAGGACCTCGGTGGTCAACAATACGACCCCAACGTCGGGAGAGCATCGGTGATGCAGTGCAGGGTATGAGATTCTCCCGGCAAATGCAAGAGTATCTCTTGCTGTAGTTAGCCGGATGCTTCGCAGTAAATTGGACGAGGTGGCAAGTTCTGCGCTTCGTCCAACAGACCTCTCTTGCACAACGTGCAGATTGTTTCACCGGTAGGAGGGTTTGTGTTGGTGCATTGCAACGTTGTAACATTACGGAGATGCGGATGACACAAAGAGAGGATATCGCATGTAACCGCTGGTTTCCTGGGTCCTACGTGGGGTTCCAGGAGCTCTCCAGCCAAGCTTACAACATGAGAGCGCGGTGGGGTTCACACCTGCCATCTTCGTAGTCATCCGCCGTCCAGTCATGGTTTCACCGCTAAGATACCAAGTGTGGTTTCAGAATTGAAGCCACCCGTGGATGCCAAACCCTGGTCTCGAGACCAGAAACATGCAACCGTCATGCAGCCATGCAGGAGGGGGAGTGATTTCTGTGCATGCAGTCGAGATGATGGCATTGTCGCAAAAACATGAAACTCTTTCCTGGCTTCTTCCTGGAGCTTGGGCACAAGAAGCAGGACCAATTTGAGATCAGGATCCCAACTTGCGATGTGCAGGTGCTTTCTTTGATAGGTAAGGCTGGTACAGCCTGGTTTTTCAATGCGTCAAGACTGCACCGCAAAATCTACGTTCATGCTAAAGCATGAGGCTTGGCCTGGATCGCGAGCAGCATCTCCACCCACACGGTTCTGAAGCCTGGCCTCCATGTTCAACTCGAGGCAGCAAATTCCAAACCACAGAACACAGCTGGCGGAATTCGCTCGCAAAGCACATTCTCACGCCATGGCACCCTGCCTCTGCCCATGGGCAGCGAATGAAGCGCCGACGGAGTGTGGCATCTGCGCAAGCGCCCACACAGTTGCCATCCGGCACGCAAGTGGGATTCGAATTTCATCGACGGCGGAGTGTGACGGAGTCTTGCTTGCCTCGCTTGTGATCGCTTCTGGAGACCTCGTGGGTTCAACATCCGAGCTTGACCTTCGCGGCTTTTAAAAGCCAGGCCCAGAGCCCAGGGCCTTACGGTCCGAGTGCCTACTTCATCCGAAATAAACTGCCATGCTTGCGAGTATCTACCGTCTCCATTGTTGTGCGATAGCTCCCGAGCGCAGAAAGCCGTTTGAAGTTCATGAAATTTCGTGTCAGGTCGTGTCTAAGCCGCTTTTTTGAATGAATGCCATTCTGTTTGTAATCGTTGTCGAGGTCCATGGAGCACAACGATGCCGTGCTGCGGACTCGCCGGGCTTTGGAAGCCTTGGCCGAGCGCTGGCCAGCCCAGCTCATGGCCCAGGCCGGAGAGCACCCGACGGCGGTGGCTGCCTTGCAGCGGCGTCTTCATCCGGGGGTCTTCGAAAATGAGGGGTACGAGTACCTTATTTTGGTGTCCATATAATAAGGATCCTACTACTTAGGATACTATTCTATAGACGGGTCCCCTATTTTCGGAAACCCCCATGTAGGCGATCAAGGAGATCCTGAACGATGAGGAAGGGCTGTCAGAGGAGGGCTTGAGACACTTTGCTTGACCTTGGCACTTGCGCTTCACGGAACAACCGGGGCAGGCCTAGGCCGAATAGTAATTAAAAATAATAGTAGTAATAGTAATAGTAATAGTAATAGTAATACTAATAGTAATAGTAATAGTAATGACAAAGTAATAGTAATAGTAATAATAATGATAACAATAGTACTAGTAATAATAACAATAATAGTATTTATAGTGTGTGCCCAAACCAAGGCTGGAGCAAGGAAGTCGGCCTGGCGTTTGTCCTACCTCGAGGAGCGCTTCAATGTGTCCCTCTCGCGGCCAACGAGCCCAGAGACGGCCCGGGGGGGGGGGGGGCACATACAGAAGGGGCTCAGGGGATGTTCTGTGCTCGTCAAGGTTCAGGTGGGCACGGCGAAAGAGCCACAAGATCGCAGTAGCTGGGAGGGAAAGTCAAGATGTTCTTTCTATTGCCGAGTCACATGCGTTCTTCTGGGCCTTGTCTTTCGACATGTGCTTTGACAGTGTATATGTTTTAGAACGTATTTGTTTCTTTACATGTATTCCTGGTTTCGATGTTGAGGATAGCACAAGATGTCAGTCTACTTCGATCTGCTGCCTTTTTTTTTTTTGGTGTGTGTGTGTGTGTTGAAAATGGTTGAAAAGTACGCCTCCGTCGCTAAGTATTTGCTAGACGGGTTCTTCGAAAGGTTGCAGAATGAGCCGGAGCTTCCACACCTGGTGCAGTGAGAGGAGCCAGCCATACAACGAAACGATGTTTCCAACAGAATACAGTAGACACCGTTGAACAGTGCGTCTTGACAGCAGGCAGCAGACATCACCGCAGGAGTGTGACAGTAACTGCAGGATCACTTGCCTTGCAGCTCTTTTTTTGAGTCCCCTGGCAGGGCTGCATCGCACCGCCACGTTCGCCTCTCGGATGCATCCCGTTTAAACTGCACTATATGGCGCATCACCGACGAATCTCGCCCGTGAGCTGGGATGGTTTCGGTTGCATAGTTTGATGCAAAGCTTTCGAAAGGTCCGAATCCCGGATGCGTCGTCCAAGCTGGTCGTCGCGCCTGCCGGTCCTTGCGGCTTCGGGGTGTTTGCAGCTTGGCCGAATGTCTCGGACACCTCATCCCTGTTCCAGCCGGTACTCACGACGATGGGCCGTCAGCTGTAAGCCCATGGTGCTTGTGCAGCCACGCTTGCAAGCATGCTGATAAGCCGAGAACCCATGCCTCATGTTTCAGTTCTCTGGAATACAGGTCAGTTGTCTGCTGTCTTTTTGGGGGAAAGTTGCGCTTGCGCACTGCAGGCTTTGCTTCGCACGTTCACTGCCCGTCTGGTGTGCTTGCAGTTCTTGTATGTTCAAGCTCTTTTCGGTATCATCGTATCTTGGCCAGAAGACTGGGATGGAGTCGCAAGTTTGCGCAGACCTGGGCGCATAGGAGGTGTTGAAAACTGAAGCTTGCCAGTGCTGCTGCCTCGGCGTTCGTCATCTGGCTTACTCTCTCGAAATCTCAGTCGAGCTGCATCATGCTTTCCACCTCATATGGCTGATCGGCTTGGCTTGAAATTTCGATTTGTTCTGAACTTCGGCAGAGTCGACGACACAACATGACCATGAGCCGACGTCGAAGCCGCATCGGGTGCAAGCAGCATTGAGCCAAATTGGTTTTTGGTCGGGGTTGTTTCACGTTTTCGGATAAGCTGCACGCAGTCGGGGACTGAGGGAAATAGATAGAACTAAGCTAGGTGAGGTAAAAGCAAGGGTTGCACGGTTGCATGTTCAGCGAAGATCGCACGAGCCGTCGAGGTCAGGGTAGGCACCCAAGGATACAGATTGCGATTGCAACATGAAAACGTAGTTCCGGGTCTTTCTGGAGCACTTTACCCACGTTGACAGAACAAGCCTGACCAAACGACCTTTCGAAGGAACCTTACATTTCCGCACGCTTCCTCAGTGAAGCTGTCAGGCTCTACGATGCGACCATGCAAGCGTAGCGCGAGAAACGACGTGCTCCACGCATCGTTCTGCAAGCTGCTGCGATCAAAGTGACAATTATGCTTTGAGGCGACAGCGAGAATCTCTTCCGGCGAGCGGCTTGGCCGCTTGGTGTGAGATCAGCTGAAAGCCAACAAAGGAGCAGATACCGTGCACTGCACTTCTCATGACAGTGCAATAAATCCCGGATCGAGGGGTTCCCTTGCTCACTCGTTACTCGACACCGCCGAGGAGAGTACACCGGAGAAATCCGACGATATGATATTTGGTGCGACGAAATCAAGGCGGCATGGAACGGTTTTTGGTGGGTTGTCTCTGTCGGAGTGTCCCTGGCAGGCGCTCAAAGTAAAGCGCCGAAATTCCGATGCCTCCTCGCCCTTCATCCGCGAGGCAGTGCAGGGCTCCGCAGCTCACGGCCTGGCTCTGCTGTTTCCTGCTTCTGCAGGAGCTCTACGCTGCCTGGGCAGGCCTACCCGTGGCCTATGCTGTCTTGCACATGCAATCTGCAATTTAATGTAATCTGTCGCTCAGATTTCAGTATTTGGCAGGCTCGGGACCCGCTGAAAAAGGTGTGGTTATTGATGCCTACCACAAAGGCAACCTCATGCGCTCCTGGTCTGCGGGTATGCTTCTTCTATCATGATCAGTTCATGTGTTCGCCTCCTGATGCAATTGTGCATTCTATAATTTGCGCCTTGGGCTCAGGTTTCATCAACTGCAGCTGCAAGCCAAACTGCAGCTTTAAGAGTGCAGCTCGGAGGCCAGTGAGTGCATGCATCAAAGCTGAAGCTTCCCACCTTCAGGTAAGCGCTCAAGGAGAGCCTCACGGCCGGCTGCAGGTAGATGCCAGGTTGCAGTCAGACTGTCGCCACGAGCCGTAGGCACTCCTTGTGTAATCGCTCCTCAAGAGTCACTTTCCGACCCGACTTTCGCGGCGCAGCTTCGGCATCTGCAGAAACTTCGTCAAGCACTTTGTCCCTTCTCGTGTCTTGCGAACTGGGTGACCTTAACGTATGAGCATCCAATCTTCGCGACAGCTGGCAATGACAGAAAATGTCCACCGGCCAAGAATGCCTTGCGGGCCATCGAAGTTGGAGAGCAGCTCTCCGTGGACTATGGATTCTCGGATGGATCAGGGATGTTGGCGAGGGCTGAGCCAAAGGTGTCATGACTGCAATCAGGTTGGTACCACGACCCTGCAACATTGGACGATATTCGCAAGGCAAGCGGAGGGCCGGGAGTTCGTTTTTCACGTAGATCTATTCGGAAAGGATAGCATGCGCGGGTTTGACCTGTCTGCGCCTATGTAGCAGCCACATTGCATCCGCACAAAAAATGGGCATTCCGCTTCATGTGCATCATGCTTCCTGCATGCAGATCCTGCAGCTGCATCTGGCTAGGAGGCAGTCGCGGTCTACTCGTCGGATCTGCCACAACTACAGGTGGCATGCTTTGCAGAGTTTGTTTCCTCTGCCGTCTTACACGCCGGTAGCGCGCTACACTGGTTTTGCACGAACCCGGTAAAGACCAGCTGAGCATGTGAAAGATGTTCACTTTCTTCCCGGAGCAAGCTGAACCCTGCTGGTGTCGCTTTCAGGCCCTGCAGCTCCCGGACCCTGTGATCGGCGACGACGCTTCCGAGGCAGTGCAGCTGGTGGCCGAAGCCCTCAAGGCAGGCATCCAAAAAGTGCTTGGACAGACGAAGAGGAAAGACTTTCGGACGTGCGATCTCTCTGCCTGCGCACATGTAGTCGTGTTACATGCAGATGGCTGCATGTGCAGCACACGTATGCAAGTTCACCAACCATGCACTACATTCGTTTGGGAGCTTGCCGCCATCGAACCTTGAACCTAAATCCCACGAATGGTGCCTGCAGGAAGCTCGTGGCCGCCCCGGCTTGCGCAGGCACGCCACAGAGCCCGAGGGCCCCTGCGTTCAGGGTTCTCTGTTGAGTGCTGCGAGATTCGGTTGCCACTCAGCAAGTCATTTTGCGAGCAATCTTGGAGCCAAACGCTTTTTGCAGATCCCGCCTTGCTTTTCCCGATTTCACTCATCTGCTTTTCACACGCTTTGTGGGGAGCCGCCAAAAACTTCTCACAACCGATTCGCGCCGGATTTTGAGAGTTCCTCGTGCTCGCCGGATCCTCTTTGAATCCGCTGCCACCTTGTCATCTGAAGCTACTTTGAAGGGCTCGGCGGGCGGGGTATGCTGTCAGAGATCGCCCTGTCAACGAATATCTACTGCACAGTGCTACGAGTACATGCTAAGCAAGACAGCTGTCGTAGCCTCACATCGAAAGTCATCGAAGCACCGTTGCAAGGGTCTATGCCGGCAGTGAGCTCAGGCGGCCTCACAACTTCCTGGCAGGGATGCTGGACTCCGAGGCGCTGGCGAGGCGAGTTTTGCCCCGGGAAGCAGAAAGGGGTGTCTTCCGTCCGTAGCTCGGATGTTTCCTTGTCATTGGTGAGCCTCCTCTGTGCGATGTCAGCTTGACGGTATGCTATTCATGGGTCGAGTAGTCAAGCATCTTTCGGCTTCTCTCTCCGTTCCGCGGGATGCTGTTCAACTCACCACATGATCGTGGAGTCAGCAGCACACTTCCTCGGCTGTAGGTTCCTGGAGTCTGGCAAGCGCTTCTCGGAAGCCGCCACCTACCGCGAGATCCCGGACCCGGCTACTTAGTTCTTGAAGTATTTTCGACCCTCAGCAGTTGTGGACGTACCGATTCTGATCTCCACACACTCGCTAGGGGAAGCCCTGCAGGTTAACTTGCATTACTTGGTTGTCTTGATATCTTCATTAGAAGCCGAGTGTTCGGTGTTGTGAGGTCTGGCTACTCTACGAAGTCCTGGGAGCGGAGAGGCACCCATGGATTCATACAGATTCCGCGGGTGCAATTAAAACAGAAAGATCGTGCCCTTGACGATTCAGCACAGATTCAAATCTAGGGACCTTCCGGCTCTTGAGTTGTCCCGTGATGTCAGGGTTGGGATTCCTTGCCGGTGCGGTTCAGATCCGAGCTTCTCGCCTGAAACTAGTTGCTTTGTGGCGAGACCATGTCCATCTGTAGCGCCCGTTTCAAGACACTTTCGATCAGTAGAGTGCAGGGAAAGGAAAGGCCTCGGCAAGTTTCGAGCTTGAGGCCTTAACTCCAGCGGGCGATGTTCAGGCATCATTGGCCGGCCACTGCAGGTGCAGAGAAAAACTCCAAGTGACCTGAGCACTGTCCCACCCCAGGCAGAAAATGCAAGCAGCCTCACAGGTGAACTTCACCGGGCGCGATGACGGTTGAGCTAGCAGCCACAGCCGCTGTTGTGGCGACTCGCTGCTGCCGCGCGTCATGGCGAAAAGTTCGAATCGTTTCTTCCAAGAGGCAATGCTGGGCCGTGATGCGTGCTTTGTCGGATTCTTGTTTGCCAAAGAGCTCCGTAACGTTTGGAAGCGTTTCCCAGGCTTCAACGCCACAATGACTGAAGCAGAACAGTGGCATCTCATGGACTACTCTACATAGTACATGCATGTACGCATACTGTGTTTTATATGTGGCATATGTGTGTATACATGATGTGTGTATATATATATATATATAGATATGCATATGTATATGGCTGTACGTGCCCATGTCGATCTATATGTATATGTGCATTCAATGCACTGATCATTCTAGAGGTCTTGGCCTCACAGGCACGCCATGCCTTCATGCGGCCATCTCAACACAAACCCAGAACGCGTGCGAGCAATGCTATGCAGCCAGCCCGTCCTGGCAAAGGCACCGGGTAACAACTCTCGAGAGCATAATGTAGAGGCCTTAAGAATAGGGTTTTGGGGGTTCCTCATTATGTTTATGGAATTATCAAGGCCCCTACATTACCCAACGCGTGTCAGGCCTGCCTTTTCTGTGTCTTTCGAGAATCTATCCCTGCAGCATTCGGAAGCAACAAGAGGCTGCAAATCTTGTAAAGTTCGGAGGCTCGGATACACTGTAGTGCATTGGGAAGACTCGGACACAGATGTTCTGCGATTCAGATCTTGTGCGGGTTTCGGACATGCGAAATTGCTGTGACTGTGCAACCCATTCACAAGCACAGAAATTCTTGCATTTGCAGCATGCTTGAGACATCCGTGATTTTCTCTCGCAGACACTTTGACGACTCCGCAACTGTTTTGGGATTTCGAAGCCTAGCGCTGGCTTCTTTTCAAGTTCGATTTTGCTACGATGCCAAACTCTCATCAGAATCAGCATCTCTTGCGGGCATGCTACTTTCTCAGAAAAGCGCGGCGTTTAGCAGAAACGTGCTACTTGTTCGACAGGCCTTCTCCGCCTGCTTCACGGAGAGGTGCCATCGAGACTTGGGCCAGGCATGTTTTGAATCGCATGCGCCGGAGGCCCGGCGCCTCCTGTCCAGCGCTGCAAAGACCAGCAGAGGTGGCAGCCCAAGGCATTTACACTCCGAGAGCTCCTGCTCGGACACACGCGTCCCGTTTCGTCGTTTCGGCTCGGTGTCTTGCACCACGTATGGCTAGCAGTGGCTATCCGAATAGGCGGACGCAACAGGCATCTTTTGGTTTGCCCGCCTTTAATAGAAACGAAAGATTCAGACCTTTCGGTCACGGGATGATGGCAGACGCAAGAAACCTCCTAAGCCATATGCCAAAAGGCCGTTGCTAACAGTGAAGAGAAGCTCTGCGGCTTACGCGGTGCGAGACACACCTGAGAAGTAGATCTGAAATCCCAGGCCCCCGTCCTGCCGTCCTGTACTGTGAGGTCCTGGAGGTTGCGAGAAATGCCGGCGGCTGCTCGGCGTGGGCAGAAGTGCCTCTCGGGAAAAGCTTCGCCGGGCCTTCCTGGCAGCCGCTCGGAGCAGAGTCCAAGCCACAAAAGACCCTGGTGCTGCTACTGGATTCCTTTGCCTTGCTTCGGGGGGCCTCTACTCCTCTGGGGCTTGGTTGGGAACAACGGTCTGGGCTCTGGGCCCCGGGCTTCACATTGGGTTTTGGGTCGCCGTGGGCGTGGCATGCCTCTACATATCGATGCCGAGGCAGCATGGAAGCATCACCCCGATGGTCTGGGCGAGGGCGATTTCGTCGAGCCCGGTGCTCAGCAAAGGGTCTTGAGGCTCATTTGGGTGAGTAGTGCTCCTTGACGCCGGTTGTTGCACGGCCGCCTGGCTGCGGCGGACGGAACTGATCGTTCATCGACAGCGCTCGAAGACCTTGCTGGCAAGGCTGCGCCGCTGCTACGAGCTCTTGCTCGAGAACTGTGACGACTCAGAGTCAGGTGCTAGCCTCTGAAGACCCCATGCTGTTCCTGCACTCATCTCGCATTCGCAAGTTTATGCATGGCAGCTTGAACATCACAGATGCCCATATGAGCCGTGTCATGCTTGCCACATGCGTGTAGGTCAAGATGAGCTCCCATGTTCGGGCACGCAGGACATCCGCGACAGAATCTGAGGTTAACACCTTTCGATCCTCTGCAACGGGATACAAGAAGGCTTCTGCCGGCGGGGGTAGAAGTTCTTTGAAGCTTTGCCGGAGGAGAAGGAGCAGGAGGAGCCAGTGCAGCCCAAACGAGCTTCGCGACGACGACCTGTCCAGGGCGGCTCTGTCAGCCCCTCAACAGCAGGGCAACAGCAGCGAGCAACCCCTGCCACGGGCACTGGAGGCGCGCTGGGCCTCTGCGCGAGCTCCAGGCCTTGTGGCGCAGGTCGCGGCACCTGAGCGCCTGGAGGCAGGACTTGTGTGACATACGAGTGGCTCCTGATATCGAAGCAGCCGACTTTTTCCTGTTCTTTCCAGCCGCCGCCCTGACGACTGCCTCACTCTTCGTGCATGGGTCGGCATCCTGGAAGGTCCGAGTGGAACTAGCACTCACGGCCTCCCCGCTGCCACCCTTCCTTTGGGCTACAGCGGCGGCGGCAGGCCTGTGCCGTAATAACGGCTCACGTCGTTGTACTTGAAGTGGTAGTGGTAGGAGTCGGAGTTTGGGAGTCGGAGTTTGAGTCGTCGTCGTCGTCGTAGTAGTAGTAGTAGCATTCAGTAGCAGACAGTAGCAGCAGCAGGAGCAGGAGCAGATAGGAGCAGGAGCAGAAGCACGAGTAGCAAAAGCAGCAGCAGCAGCAGCAGCAGCAGCAGCAGCAGCAGCAGCAGCAGCAGCAGCAATAGCAGCAGCAGCAGCATCGGCGGGAGTAGTAGTAATAGTAGTAGTAGTAGTAGTAGTAGTAGTAGTAGTAGTAGTAGTAGTAGTAGTAGTAGTAGTAGTAGTAGTAGTAGTAGTAGTAGTAGTAATAGTAGTAGGAGCAGCAGCAGCAGCAGCAGTAGTAGTATTAGGAGGAGTAGTAGTAGTAGTAGTAGTAGTAGTAGCAGTAGCAGCAGTAGCAGCAGCAGTAGTAGTAGTAGTAGTAGTAGTAGTCGTAGTCGTAGTCGTAGTCGTAGTCGTAGTCGTAGTCGTAGTCGTAGTCGTAGTCGTAGTCGTAGTAGTAGGCACCCCCCTACCCCCTACCAACTACACTTGCTCCTAGCCATGTTAAGACAACATCCTATGTACTCGGTATCTACAGCAATTTCGTCATGTAGGATCATCTTGTGAAGAAGCCTCAGAATCGACTTGTCGACTTTGCAAACTCGAGCTTCGGATTTTGCACTTGCTTTTGGGGGGCGTGCGAGGGGAGGTGGGGGGGGATGATGACGACACTGTTACGCAGACACCTCGAGCAGTTTCTTCAGAAGAGCCGTTTCGCTCGGTATTTACAGTACGTTCGTGATGTCTCCCCTGTTTTGTACAGTCACCAAACCTGCTTCTGGACGTTGCGAACTCGACCTTGGGATTTTGGAGGGCTTGCGGCAA